ACTTAAACACCAAGGATGTGGTCAAGAAAACAGGGTCATCCTGTTTTACAAGTCTGATTAACATGTGCCTTTTAATCACACAACACACACGCTGGTGAAGAGGCAAAAAGCATGACAGAAGCAGCACTGCTCTCAGAAAAGACAGTTTCACTCTCTTTGGCCCATGTACCATCCACACAAGTGCTAACCAGGTTCCTTGAATACCAGCCAAAGTGCTGGTGTGCTACACCAAGAGAGGGGACTTTAAACTTCACCCTCACTTACAAGTGTAAAGCTCAGATGAGATTTTCTTCCCTTCTGGTTTCCAGTAGAACAAGGAGTGTAAGTACTCWGGAGAAAGTGGCTCTCCAGGTGTTCTAGCACAAGTTGTCTGTAAAAGGTGTCAGAGGTTTTACAACAAAGCCTGTTTTCCATTAGATTTTTGGCTTAGCTGAAACTGGTAGGTGGTCTCCTACATGGAGTAACATCACACTTTGGCCTGCACATTAACTGTGTCACCTGCCAGCAGCAATGATGAAGCAGCAAAAGCCTACTAGAGGAACTAGAGGAACCTTTTTTTTCTTTCTTTTTAGTKAACCYTTTTTTTAAGGTCAGCAGACAAGATCCAGTCCTCTTGTTTAAAGTGACCAAGAGTTCACAGCTTTTCAGCTTCCTTTTTTTTTTTTTTTTTTTCAGCTGCCCCCCTTTCTAGATGTTTGTTATTAAATTTGCTATAAAATGCCATTGTCATCCTGCAGCTAAAGAGAGAGAAACAAGGCACCTTCAAGTACAAGGCTTACCACCTGCTCCATTCTGTTACTAAAACATTATATGCACACCTGTACCCTGTTTGGAAGCATCCATAACAACCCTAACCCACAACTGGGTTTCCATTGGAAGTCAGCTATTTTGTATGGATGGATGGCTTCCCATATCCACTCTTATGGCCTTTCCAAGCCCCTAACCTTGGCCAGTACCTTCAAGCTAACGTYACTTTTCCTACATTTATAAATGAGACACTTTCTCTGCCAATAGGAACTGGTAATGGCATCCCAAAATATGTTGCAGACAGGGATTTTCATTCCTCCCCCTAAGTTTCTGCACCAGTTGACACAGCCTGGAGTACATTCCCTCAGAGACAGCACTGAGATCACTGCATTGGGAGAGACCCAAGGCACCGGAGGACGATGTAGGTTTAGAAGACTTGTGACAGCGCAAGCCTCTGTGTGTGGAGACCTTGTGTCTCCACCAAAATTTAGCCAACTAGTAAGAATGACAAACTACCACCGAAGTGGTAGGAGTACTGCTTCTGCCATGCTCCATGGCTCTTTACTAGCATGAATGTTGCATTATTAAAATGCAATATGCCAAGCAGACCTGTAAACACTGGCAAGTATTTCTGGCTCTGCTAACCCTTCTTTTCACACCTACCTATAGTCTCCTGGTATTCTCCTTACAGATTTGAACCCTGCCTTGTTTCTCATGCAATCCCTTTTCCTATCCAGTTAAAGAATGCTCAGCATGTTCTTAGCCCCTGTAAAACTTCCTCCTTTGGGAATAATTATAAATGTCAGCAGTACTTTCTGATCAGATAGAAGCACATACTCTGGGGAAAGATAGAGGGTAGGAGTTGTGCTTTTGCTGAGATGGGAGAAGTGAAAATGTGACAGGCAAGCCCACCTGAACCTGAATTTTCTTCCCACTTCTTGGAATTATTTCTTCTTTCTTCATCCTTCTACTGAGGTTTAGTRAGGTTGTGGATAACTTTAAATAGCTGTACAGTTCTGTATAGTTCTATGGCACATTTCCCTCCTTTTATAGAAGTTTTCATTAGGATTTCAAGGAATCTTTATGAAGAGGGATTTATGCATCAGGGACACTGGTGATAGGGGTCAGATAATGGAGGCTTTTAAGCTGTGAACAGAAAGAAGGGACAGAGAGATCCGAGACCATATACTGGCAGACTTGTGATCAGAGTTACTTATGAAATACCAAATCAAGATCAGGATTAGTCACGCTTTCAAAAGAATTAGTTCACAAAAGCTATACCCTGCTGGTAATCAGGCACTTTCCACAGTCAACAGGCACTTTCCACAGGACAACAGTCCCTCACAATTARGAGTTTCCTGTTTGTATTTACCCAGGAGCATGAAAGAGAGTGTCCAGGTCAGAAGAGGCAACAGTGTGAGTCCCATCTATGTCCCTGGTGAGTTTAGAGAACTCACGATAGGGACTGTCCTCTGACCTCCCAAATATCTCCTAAACAGAACTAGAAATATGAGGCCATCTCCTCAATCAGTGACTGGCTGAGCAATGGACTGAAGATGGAAGAAGAGTGGCCTTAGCCATACTACAGCATTCTCATGCTTATCATCACTTTATCAAATTAGAAGTGCTTTTCCAGCAAAAGACATTAGAAAATAGCTTCTTTTTTTATTACAGAACACTATTGTGTGAATACACAAAASCATAAGAGAGAGCATCCATGCTAGATCAGATGGCAGGTCTCTCTTTGTTGATACCTAGGCAATATGAGGATGAAGGAAAAATAAATCATTTTTCCTCWGTGTCTCTCCCAAGCTATAGCTATGTGACACTCAGAAGCTTCTGAAGCCAGGAGTGGTTTCTGTGAATTCAGTGTCTCTAAATGGATTTCTCTTCCAAGAACTTCTCCCATCAAAACTTGAGCTGCTACCTATGGATCCTAGTGTATCTGTTATAACGTAACATGTCTGCAACCTTCCTCCCTCTGGGRCTCAGCTCTGTGCTTGAAGGAGTCGAGGTCCAGCTCTCATCTGACACAGCCGGGGCACCGTGGCTGGGACTTCTGAGGAAATCACTAAATTGTGAGAAACAACTGTGAGAAAGCTGGCAAAAGTGTCATGCAACATAAGAAAGGCAAAACTACACATAAAGGAAGGATTGCTGAGACATGGCTTGTACCTAGCTTATACATTGAAGAAGAAAAATAACAAAATACAGATGAAATCCTAAAAGAAAAAAAACAGGCAGGCAGCAACTCATCAACATAGAGGGTTTATTCTAAGGGTCTTCCCTTCCCAATTGCTTCCTGCTATGCCAGGACTGTGGGTGTTTTATGAGGTTGGTGAGCATGACAACRTTTAGCCTAGAAGCTCCTTAATTCTTAGCTCTCTTTTGCATGGGTTATCTCCCCAAAAGTTTGTTTTATAYTTTTAAGTTCTGCATGTATTGCTTACAGAATGTCTTTGCTTACAGCAAGGATGCTCAAAGTGTCTTTACGAGGAAGGGTTACTCTATTCAGGGTTGAAATTAGGAACTTGGAGATATATGCAGCATGTTGCCAGCCATATTGGAGTGAACCAGGCTCTAGCATTTGCAACTTTTTAAACAAATAAGGCTATTTAAACAAATAACACCTTCCAATTCCAAAACTTCTACCTGGCATCTCTCTTTTGTTTGTTTGTTTGTACAGTGACCATGCTCTTGGGCCACTGTCAACACTGARAAGAGAGATTCATAATACCTGCAGATTTTAAAGTCAAAATCTATTTGGAGGAAACCAATAACATTATGTAAGCAGACTGGGTATTTTGGGGAAAGAACATGACTTTTGTAAGGAAGAAAAAAAAAGAAAGAGGCAAGACACAGGGCAACTGTCACTCTAATGTACCCACAGCCATCAGCTGGAATTATCTCAGTCATTTGGGATAACATCATAATGCAGCATTGTCAGAGGATCAGTGTCTCCTGCTCTGACAATAAATGGTTTGGCTGTTATGTAGCAGCAGGAGATGATCATCTGCCTCAGATATATTAATGTCTTAGTCCATTCTCATTATCTTTCAACTCATGAAAGCATTAGAGCTCTCCTCACAGTGAATTTCCTAGTGAAGTGTCTGTGGGAATCAGAGGCGAGTGTGGCATGGTGGCAGAGAGCAGGGAAAGCACCATTTCACCTCTCAGCAAGGGCTATTACTTAGGGGCTATAACTTAGTGATAGACGTGAAGCAAATACAGCAAATGTTGCTACAGAAGTCCCTCTGCTTAATAATTCATTTTCTAAGTATAAACAAACTCTCTTCTTACAAACTAAGACATTTTTTTCCTTGAAAAGCTCAAAACTACTCTGTGTGTCCCCTCTACCACACTCAYACATGGGATCCATTAGAATCCTCTTGCAGGAGCTGGCTTCCAACGCCCCTGCACTGTGGTTATTCCTGTGTACAGGAAGGGTGTCAGGCAGCTGCTGGCCCTGGAGGGCACATGTTGCTTGGGAGAGACATGCAGGAACTTGCCAGTTCATTATGGTATCTGCCAGGGTGCTTTCATACCATCTCCAAATATGATCCCTCAAGATGACCCTGGATAATCACTATGTATGGTCAAGAAAGAAAACCCACATTAAGCTTCACCCTCAATAGATGCTTGAAAACATTGCTATGTCAGTAATTTAATTTTGTTCCAGGATTAATAAGAAAACATACTATTTAATGAACTTTTATATTGTACAAAAGAATGCAGAAACTGGATGTGGAGACGTATGCAACAAGCACCAGCCTCCAAGCCCATGGCATCTCACCTGGGGTTTYGGACTTTGATGAAAAGCAATGAGAGTTTGGCAGCTTTGGCCAAGTATCCAAGTAGTCTTGTAATTGCTTCACAACCCCCCAGYCAATCTGCCACAAATGTGTGTCTGGAATAGCAGAGTCCCAGAGCTAAAGCAGCAGGGTTGATGTTAAGTCAAAATTGACTTTCACAGCTTCTGGCTATACTGACCCTCATTCTTGCAGCCAAGACGGAAAGCCCTACCAATAAAAAGTACAAAAATTCATCTTCAAAGTGCTAACACAAACTGAAGGAAAAAATGCCAGCACATTAGACCCTCTGCACCTTTAAAGTGAACAAGAACTTCCTTGACAGACTTCATATACTTCAACTAGTGAGAGTCATTCTCCCACCTTTACGGTAGGGAAACTGGAGTCGCACTGTAAGGGATCAAACATCATGACAGCTGCCTTCAGTTGAACAGTTTCACTTACAGATTTGATCCGCCTTCTGTGAAGCATCTGGGTGTCCTCTGGGTCACTTTGGCTGAATCAATTCAGGGTCAAGTCTTCTAAATGCCTCCTCCCAGAACAATCTGCTGGAGCTGGGCCAGGCCATTTCCTCTGGAGAAAGAGAGGGAGATGAGATGAGGCAGAGACAGGATGGGAAATGGCAGCTAGGAAAGCAGATCTTGCTGTTTCTCCTGGGAGGTGGTTGCTTTTGCTGGGAAAGGCCACCAAACCTAGCAAGGCCACCCTGTCTCCCTCAGCAGGGACCTTCTCAGGCACCCAGCACAGGCAACAGAAGTAGTGACATTAACACTGCCGTCAGCAACTGCTGCTTTAGCAATAGCCTTTCACTGCTCCTCCTTCTGGTCCTGCACTGAGGTATTTCTCATCTGAACGGACTGTTGAGAAGTCAATGGATACTATTTCAGGCTTATTATATATTATTCAGCTATGAATCTCTATTGCCCTATAAGGAACCAAATGAACGGCAGGAATGAAGGCTGACTAAAGGTCAAACTTAAGCAGAAGGTCTTGCAGAAAAGAGTTCTGCTTTATTTGGGGATCATTATTGTTAATAATTTGCAAGTCATCCTAGTCTGAAAACTAATTTTTATTTGGAGAAGTTTCGGGCAGAACACTTCCCTGACTTGGTTCCCTGTGTGGTGACAAGAAAAGTAAATGCCAGCACAAGGGAAAACCAGGCCCATGTGGCRTAAGGGTAATAGGAACTGCAGCAGCCCAAACTTTATGTCAGCGTAAGCTGCTGTTGAGATATACAGCTTCACCTAACTACTGTATTGCAGTCTTAGATCAAATTTAAAAATCTCCCCACTAAAGCAGAAAATACCCCACTGGGGATCCACACTGTGAGGCCTCAGCTGGCCCCCGTGGAATATGCATGTTTCAGAGAAACAAATGCATTTACGCACTCCTGGTCAACACTTGAAACTATGCAAATATAAGCCTTTTAGCTCTCACAGCAATTTCCATTTCTCGGTTTTATTTAGGGAGAAATTTATATATACCAAAAAGAGCACAGAAGCAACGTGACCCATCTGGTTGATAAATGAAGGTATCTGAGCCTGCTGTAGGTACTCAGAATCTGTGTACTCTGCTTTTGATGGATTTTACATCCRGATAATTGGGAAATAACTTCTTCATGGATTTTTCATGGCAGGAGACTACGAGACAACGCTAGACTTTCTAATAGGAAGAAATACTGAGAGAAAAAAAGAAGATGGAAGCACAGGCACATTCCTCACTAGAGGAATTCTGCTATTGCTCTTCATCAATAGCAGAACATAAAATACGGTTTTTAAAGCCTTTGAATATTTTGTAACCGAAGATGCTATTTTCTATATAGATCATTATGGTCTTTCTCTTTTTACTACTAAGCTTTGTGACTTACTTCCATTTCCAAAATGTTTATTAGATGAAAAAGGAGAGGAAAAAGACATCTTTTACTCACTCACCCCCAAAAATTATTTGAATAAATTAACTGGCCAAGGTAGGAACTTATTTTTAAAATGGTCTTGATTTCCACCGATAACTTAGACCATGTAAGGTATACACAAGTTTGCTTGGACAGTTCACCATTTGCAGGATGTGGTGGATCGCATGACATCCTTTCTAGTCCTTAAGTGAAATTGTTTAAATAAGAATATGGAATACAGAATTATTATTATTTTGCACACTCATACCCTAGTTCACAACCAGATAGTGCTGATCATCTTTAGAACAGCCTTCCTCCACACATCCAGTTACCTGAATAGGAATGAGTGGCAAGAAGTGATGTGGGTGACCCAAGTCACCATCAYGCACTTGAACACTTGTGACCCAGCTGTCCTGGCTGGCTCCGTGTTTCACAGTTCCCCTCGCAGCATGCTCTAATATGCCCATCGCTGTGATATGACGCACATTTTCAGCTCACTGCCTTGCTGTAGAGCAGCATGTTCCTTGTCACGAAAGCCTTGCTAGCATTTATGCTTTTTGCACTAAGCAGAATAAGCAAGCACATAATAAGCCAGACCTCAGTCAAGACATAACAACACAGAAAACCCAACTCTCTGCTGTCACAAGGCTAAGCTCTCTGGGGATTCATTTATTTTTTCCAAATCTAACCTGAAGCACAAGCRGCTTCTTGAGGCTTGTAACAGAAGTGATTTGCAGCTAATGACCCAGTCTCTCCCTTTTCAACTTCTGAACCATGTATAAGCTTGAGTGAATGCTAATTCCCACTCTTTGGGCATAGTATGACACCACAAATCATAACTTTCCCAGTCCTTGTCTAGGCTGTCTTGTAGGCTGCTGACTATAGGAATAAGATTCCTAGAACTATTTATGCAATTTCTCACAATGTCAAAGGAGCATTAGCAGAGGCAGGCACCATAATGGACTATTCTCTTCCAGCTATGCAGGAAGCCTACATGCTCTCTTGATGCATCCTCACKGGAGTAAGAGGATACTAAAGAAATCCATGGATTATAACTGTCAAACTGAAACTACTCTTAGGAAGTGAAATGGAAGAGCACTAGAAGTGGCCAGGCTAGTTCGGCCAAAAAAAAAGAAAAAAAAAGTAAAAATTACTCAAAGCCTCTCCCCAGTCAACTGAACTACACAAAAAACGTTACAGTTTGGCAGATATAAGAAATGGGGAAGGCCCATAAGGGCTTCAAGTACATTATCCCTTCTCTGGCACCAGCAGGATTGCTCCCAACAGGGCATCATTTCCTAGTGCATCGGAGAATCTAGTTTTAAATGGGCCAAGTGATTGGCCTGTTGTAGCAGCTTCCTCTGAGGAAATGGCTTCACTGTCCCAGTAAATCTCAATGGTAAGAATGCTTCCTAACCTTCACACTGAATTTTCGCAGGCTTTGATCTTCATATACAAAGACACGTTCAGTTAACTTTACTTTTTTCCTTTTTTTTCCTGCAAATCACAACCAGGACAAGAGGCAGATTGTAAAATCCTTCTAGAAAGGATTTGGGGGGTGAGTTTTTTTTAGTAACTCGAATCTCTCAGAAGTGCAGGAATTGTCTCTATCTTTGGTCATCTCCATTCAATCATCTATGCCTTAAAAGTTCAGCAATGCTATCATATATTTTATTCTCATCTCTATAATTAGCCCTTTATTCTTTTAACCCATTACTATACACTCAGCTCAGCTTTAATGCCTAAATAATTTCTCATTCCCAATTCATTAAGCTTTCATCAAATGCCATTCAAATCCTTTCTAAAGACTTACTTCCTTATGAGACCATAAACATTAATCTTCATCAGTGCATGGCATGTACATAATTTGATGCGACACACTGATACATAGGTGGCATCCTAAATTAACACCTCCTCAGGGACCTGTTTGCATGTAGTGATTTTAAATTCCCCTCGGCAGAGCCTCTCATTATTTCCTCCTTGCAGAGGGCCAGTTCTTTGCTTATCAGATAATAAATAACAACATCATTATTTTGCAGGCAATAAGAACARACTTTTAAAGAAAATGAATGCAACCAATTTTCTGTGGCTGCAACCAGTAATTGTCATGGATGTCAGATGTCTGTATCGTTCTTTTTTTCTTCCTGGAGGGAACAAATCAACAGCAACAAAAAAAAACAGATATTTTAGTTGTGGCTGGCACTAGAGTCTTCACATTTCATGATCTGTGCCTATCTTCCCTCAGTGTCATTAAAAATATAAAAGGAAAAATGCTTGTTAGAGAATACTGAACTAGTGTCAACCAGAAGAAAATGGTGTTATTTGTGTGCAATTACTATCCATCTTTCTGTCTTCTTTTTCCACAACCAAGGAATGTGCTCCATGACTCTAGTCAAGTGAAACCTGGAGCAGCAGCTTGAGGGTGAATAGSAGTGACACTGCCACCTACTCAGAAAGGTTTATCTGAGTTTTAAATTTGTCAGCAAACACAAAAGCTTCTCCATCAGCTTGCAACTTTTCCTTCTGCATCTTTATTGTTTATTCTGCTCTCCTCTTTTAGTGAAATTGGCAACTGCTTCAAAAAAAAAAAAAAAAAAAAAAAAAAAAAAAAAAAAAAAGTCTGTTTGATGTTTTGGGCTGCTGAAACAGAATAGCAGATGGTTGCAGAGACTAACAAGAGACCTTTGCAGACGGTCCTCAAAATATAGGGTGAAAAAATCCTGTTAAAAACAGTATTTCCACAAAAAGAAAGAATAAAAAAGATCCTATAATCTGCCTCTAAACTAAGATGTTCACTGAAGAAGTACAGCTTTGTGTTACGTTACTGGCAATCTCATGGTGGGCAAAGATAATGATCTCACATTTGACACAGGCTCAAGGCAAGAGTTAGCAGTTGGGCTGACTCGTAGAGCTTGTAGCTGACTCGTAGTTCAGCTGCGCTACAACATGAATTTAAGCTCCAACACATTCTGATTTCATGCAATACAACATTTTAATGCATTAAATTCTGCTTACTAAGATAGAAGGAAAGAAGTGCTGTTAGCTCTATTGACTGATAATTGACTCAACTGTTTAATTTCCAATATTGTGCAATGCAGCACAGAGATCTTTGACTCCAAAAACCATAGGTGCCCATTACCCGACTTCAACAAGAAAGCATTATTAGCAGGGAAACTATTAATAATACTGACTAGCAAAAAAAAAAAAAAAATTACACATTACATTTGCACTACACTTATAGTCTGATCGTTCTTCCTAAATTTCCAAGATCATCTCTGCCATACATTTTGTTATCCTAAAATGTCTCCATGGCATTCCTATTTTTAGTTACACGTAATTTAGAAGTGAAAAACTTCTTACTACAAACTTCATTCAACTGCTAACTTCTTGTAATACCTTTCATTTTAAAAATAAGCCTTTTCTAGACAAGAATAGGTTTATTGGATCAGGTGTGATTAGTGTCATAATTTCCCATCCCCAAATTATGARGTGACAACATAACAGATCCTATATCGTGAAAAAATAGGAGCCTGTTGTGCATAACAGGAAAGAAAGAAAGGAAATTTTAAAACTGATCATCTCTGAGAAACTTTCATTCTGTCTCTGCTAYGAGACCAAGAAGCATATGAAATACCATGGCACCTAAACCTTTCCCTCCCATCTTCAGAGGGATCTGGAAGAACATGACCCTGAAAAATAAATATTAATRCAATTGATTCATGTATTTTCCACAAAACAAGTTACTTATGAGAAGAAACCAAATCTCACATAGTGACTCAAGCTGCTTTCTCTGTCAACATCTAGTCTGCACTCCTATTACCAACAAGCACAACTAATTCACCTGGCCAGAAGACAAAAATGATCATGCTTGAGATTCTTCAGAGGCCACTCTTTCTGAACCTTTCCAGGAAAATGTCAAGAAAATAAGCACACAGCAGCAGAAAAACTCCAAATTCCATGTGAAAGCTCACAAATATGTAACCTCCAGGCAACTCATTATTTCCAGGTGTACATCACCAAATAATTCATCATTAATTAATCGGCCAGCTGGCCTGATTTGTCAGTAGCAGACTACTGCATTCAGAGCTTCAAGGTGGGTTATTAGGTTGGACTTCCAGCTCTCCTTTAGACCAGAKAAAGTAGATGAGGAAAGAGAATTTATTACAAAAGTCTTGCTAAAAAAAGAACAGTAACTTAATAAAACCAATGCAAAGAAATATTCTCAATTAAAGACAAATATGCTACCCTCATCTTCTCATCTCAGCAATCAGAACAACAAAAATACRGATTTTAATAGGAACAGCTGAATATCTTTCAGGGTATAGTAAAAATTGTCCTGCAGACAACTCACTTGTGTTTAGAACAAAAGTGATTGTGATTAGAGAGAACATTTGTTGAGTAGCTTCACTGCTAAGCTTACTATCTTCATTTTTAAATGTCCACCCCTCTTTTGGTACACAGTGATGCATGCTGAAGCCAGAAGAACGTGACTGCTGCTTTTATTAGAATTAGTGATGGACCACCAAGAATATGAAAATATTACAAATCTCTCCAACAAAATGTTTTCTGGAGAATGAACATCTAAAATGACCRTAGAGGGATTAAGGGTAAGGGGATGGGAGGTCTTTGGAGTCACCAGATTCATGTTTATTACCCTGAAGAGGGCACATCATTCAGAGCTATGAATCACTGGATACCAATGATTTACCTCAACCAGAGATCAGAAATGATGCTGGACAACTCAGTAAAAAGAATTTGCTTAAGTATAAAAGATTCAGCTGGGCAGCATTAGAGGCCGGCCAGTTCAAAGCAGACATTTTGTGTCTTGCTTGCTACAGCCAGAACATTTTAAATATTGGAGTTAGAAACATTTTAAGATTACTTAACCCTTTAAGTATTTACTCYTTTTAATCCATGCTTACACAGAAAGAGACTTTAAGATAAAACAGTATGTGACTCTTGTGTTTTGATAAGAACAGCTCCCAWCAAAACTGAAACTTGATTGTTCTCTTGCCCCCAGGCTGTTCAATTTATGGTTAACCAAATATCACTGACAACTCTTGATTTTGATCTAGTCTAGAATTGATGCCAACATCTTCTCATTGACTAAAGCACAATTTTGTTAAAGAATAGTTCAGAAAGGAATATACTCTTGCCTTTAAGACATCAAGGAAGAGAGAATTCAGTGCTGTCCTTTGTTGTATTTCCCAGGAGTTAGTTAGTTAGTTTTCCCTCAAATTTTTCTTTGTATCTAATTTGATTAATTAGGGTTTTTTTTTGTCTTTTTTTTTGGGTTGCAGTTTATCCTTACTGACTCCCATGCTTTTCTCTACTCGATTAAAGAACCCTTTACCATCAGGCATTTTCCCCTCAGGAAACTAAAGCGACTGCACTCTTAAATTTCTTGCGATAAGCTTTTTCTCCACCACTTCAATTATTTTTCAATGTTCTCTTTAAAATGTAGACACTCTGGCTGAACTCGCTATTCCTGTATTGGCTCTCGCCACTGTTGTGTACAGAGTAAATCCTTCCCTAATCCTACTTTTTACCCTACTTACATTTCCAGAGACTGAGTTGTTATTTTTTTTTCCCACAGGAGTGCACTGGGAGTCTCACGCCACGCTGCTTCTCACTTCTAAGCCCTATAGCTTTTCCTGTGTCGYTTCTTTCCCGGGAAACGATTCTTATTCTGTAACTCCTGCCTGCATTAATTTTCCTAGAAATACAACACAGACTTAGCATATTTAAATTTTCTTCTCGCTGAGGAACTGGCCTTATTTACCAAGTAATACAGACCATTTCTCACTGGTATTTACCATTAGCCAATCTTTCTGTCACCTTTAAATTTGAAATCACCAAGGATCTAATATTTACTGCTCGAAAACTYTGAAAAATGCTGGTGATTTGCTCTATTACCAGTCCCTGCACAAGCCCAGGAGAGATAACCTAAATATAGATGTTGGAGGTAGGTGGGATAGGGACAGAAGAGAGTGTCCTATTGTCCCCTTAAGCTCCGACAGGAGGTGAAGCAGAGGCAGGAAATTAGTTTAATTCATMGGAATAGTATTCTATCCATGTTTTGATTTGAAATGATGAAATATGAACTATTTCACATGAACATGAATTAATAAAAAAAAATCAGGGAAAAGCAAATAACTATATATTTTTTGTTTTTCTTTACCTCAAAGATATTTTTCTCGTGACGATTTTTCTCCATCACAGTGTTTCTGAATTAGTGAGTGTTTGAAAATTTATCCCAGTTGGTACTTCCCACCTTGCATGACTTCCRTAAGGAGATAGACCAAAACCCTAGCTGTCCTCCTGCTTTGAGCAGCAGAAATTGGAATTCTCTACGCTGTTGCAAGGAGAGACTTTGTACATAACAGAACAAAGAACTACATGACTTAGAGACAGTGTTGGGAGGATAGGAAAGTTACTATCAGCTCTTTAGAATGAGACAGTGCATCTGCCATCAATCATGAAAGTGTGCAGCTTAAAGGTGAGCCTTGAAAGAGCTGGATTGAAGGTGAAGATAATTTTGTATGAAAATTGTCATGCTTTTGGAAATAAAAAGACTCAGTTCAAAACAGTTCATTATTCCTTTTCCTATAAATAATAATTAAAAAAAAAACAAACAAACAAACATGTAGATGGCAACCAAATCAGAATGTTTAAGCTTGCCCACTTGCCACTGCTTAATTTGGGAGAAATTTTTAAAATAAAAATATTTTCCAAAAAAGAAAATAAACCRAGTTCTTGCTTAGCAACTGCACTGCTAGAAATGTGGAGCCCTTGGGGTACTTTTCATTCGTCATTCCTGCTTTAGATGGCAGGCCAGAAGGAGAGAGCTAGAAGACCCTTCCACTCTGGTAGCCCAATTCCACCACTTACATCTGCTGCTGCTATTGAGTCCCAAGGGACTCAATACTCTTACTCTTTGCATAAGAAGAATATCTTCCATAGAAACCCCATTAAACCCATTTCTATTCTAAATCATTCACCACTGTGGAATTACATAGCATTACAAGCACATTTTTGCTGGCCTTGTGAAGAGGATTAAAGCCATTTCTTTTTGCTGCCACAGACCTTTTTGACTACTTTCATACTTTAAGGAAGAACTACTGAAAGATTGAATTTGAAGGCAGATTCAATATTATACAGATTCTTGATAGGGATGGAGTCTGGTTTTTGGTAGTAATTCCATAGCCTCCCTTGCACTCATTTTCCCCAGCTTGGCTTAACCTAATATTAATGTGAGTAAAATATTTTAGTCTTTGAGTCCCCTGGGAAATGCAGTCATATTGAAACATATCCAATACTAAATACTCAATAATGCTGAACAGTGATCCTGAAACTTTGTTTCAGCAGGCAAACACATGGGCACCTCCCTTCAATTATCACAGACTCTGTTTCTCCATGAAAATAAAGGATGGATAAATAAATTCAAAAAAATTCTTGGATGTCATTATGAAATGTCTGGGGAAAAAAAAGCCAAATGCCACCAAACAGTGGCAGAACAGAAGCAGYTGAGAGTATTATCTGAAATCAATGACTGCAGTTCAACTTACTTTTGACTCTCATCATCTCTGAAGAGTAATGGAGGTTTTAATTCAAATGCTTAGTTTTCAAAGTCTCTGTGCAGGATAAGAAATACCTTCCATGCTTAGATTTGCTAGAGTGGTTTGTTATTTGAAAGAAGACAGAACAGTATAATGGGCCAGACACCCTCAGCTCTACAGAATCCACTGGATTGACAGTTCAGTTGTAAGATGAGGATCTGCCTTTTAAGACTATTTTTCCTGTGACTCTAKTGAGTTTTAAAAAGATACAAATGAAAAATAACCTATTTGTTTTTTACATTTCCTGATGTTGTTTTACTTCCAACACTTCRAAATGTGGCAAAGAAATCTAACCATTTAGTTCACATTCATCTAACCATTCAGATGGCAACATTCCCACTGCCATCAGCAATGCAGGTGGTGAACAGGGCAAAGCTGTGCTATAAATCTTCTTGCAGATAAAACTGCCCTGTGTTTTCACTGCTGGTCCCAGGTATTCTTCTTCCCAAGCATCAGGCAAGAACATGTAGATGCTCCCACATATCCCTTCTCCCAAGATTTTCTGTGCTTTCACTGACTGCACAGCAATTCATCCAATGTTCTACCAAAGTTTATAGACAACTGTGGAAGAGAATAAGGTTTCTCTGTATCATCTAGGCTGAACCACATGACATCATCATCCAGTCTACAGCACAAGGGAGTTATTTGCCAGCCTAACCATAGTGTTTATTTTCAGTGYTTTGGCTTGGTGCCTGTTCTAGTTTCCAATCCATGATGCAACCCTAGGCTTTCTGTCTCCTTAGCAGGTGCTCTGTTTGGCCCATTGACTATACAGAAACCCAAGGCTCCTAAGTCAGACTTGCAAGTTATATTTTGGAATAAATTAACCAGAGTAAATCTGAATCATCTCTGCAAACCACACATATATACACTGATCATCCAGCAGGATGTCTTCAATACTTACTAAACCCTGCACGGTATTTTTACCTGTTTCATCAGGTTCGTGACTTGGCCTGCAATGTATCAGAAGTAATTTTTCAAGTATTTTTCCCAATATGACATTTTGTCACTCCAGTCTGGTAAATCTGAAGGAGACAGATCCCGAGCTTAGCTGGAGGGAGAAGCTTCCCTCACGATATCCTCAGGCATAATATCAAAATCCTTTCTGAAGACTGAGGTTTGAATGGAGTATTTCCAACAGTGCCAGCAAGGGCCCTGCTGAGCAAAAAGGTTTGCCCCAGAACTCTTCCTGGGGTTGTGTGTCTGTATGTCCACCTGTGAGGCTCTCTYGGCCCTGGGGAGTGGAGGGGAAACCAAAATGAAACATTGATATCAGACAGAATAAAAGAATAA